CCCCAAAACCCCAAAACCCCAAAACCCCAAAACCCCAAAACCCCTCTACGTCACAGATGGGTTGAAATGTCCTAGTACCTAATTTGATTCCTTTAATCTTCCTATTCGAAGAAACTCTCCATGATGCTTCTATAGATGAAGTAGGCGAAGAAAGCAAGCATCAGATATTGGAAGAAAGCTCTCATGAGTCCAGGAGCTCTCATGTTTGGAACAAAGCAGTAGGTTCCTTCCTTATCACAAGTGAGGACGAACCTAGTATCGTTTGAGAACTCAACGCATTCCATTTTGCCTGGATGGATTTGGTCATCTCTATCAATCTGCATGTATCTAGTGTTTAAACTCTTGATGAAGCCTGTCTCTGATCCGATAGCAAGGTAGAATCCATCACTGCTCATAGTGAAATGAGGGCAATAGTTATCTGCCACTTTGATAGTATTTAAATTTTTGAAATCTTCGCTCTTAGCATCCCATCTAGTGACATAACTCTTCTTGCCAGCCTCAGAAGCAAGAGTATATAAGTATCTCCTGGATGGAGAGAAAATACATCCTTGGAAAGACATATTTGGTTGCCCTGTTTTCTCACTGAAGGTAAGCTCGTTGAGAAGGTTTCCGGTAGCAAAATCGTGGATAAGACATTGTTTATCGTCTCCTGATCCAATAGAAGCAACTAATTCATGATCAAAAGTAACATCAATGTGGGCAATCGGAGTTGTGTGAGATTTATATTTCTTGAATTCCTTTACGTCAGTTACAAGATCTTTCTTCTTATCAATATTTAAACTCCAAACTCTTAGAATGGTGTCATTTCCCCCGGTAATTACTTGCTTGTTTTCATACAAAAACTCAACTGTGTTAACATGAGGATTCTCAGAGTCAAAATCAGCTTGGAATTCAGTCATCATGGTCAATTTTCCTGTCTCAGGAATGACCTTATAGAGCTGCACTACATCCTTTTTAGCAATAGCAAACCAATTCTTCTCCTGTGTCGCTAAAGAAATCTTAGTAATCGCTTCATCAAAATGCTTCACGTCAAGCTTATCCTTTTCCTCCACATCATAAGACTTCACATAAGAAGACAGCTCATACCCTCCTTCCTTCACCTCACTAACAAACAGCAAATTCTGCCCAATATTAGTAATTATCTCCAAAGATGTTCCAAAACTCGAATTTGACATTTTCGAAATTATATTTTACCATAACATCGGCTCTAAAAGGGGTTTTGGGGTTTTGGGGTTTTGGGGTTTTGGGGTTTTGGGG